AAAAAGATTGGCTTGTCTGTCAAAAAGTTTTCTGAAATTTATATGCACCACATGATGTTCACTGCAGTAGCTGAGTGTCCAACTCAGAAACATAGAATGCCCAAGTTGCTAGCAATTGTGATACTGAAACTAGACCAGTATTATCTTTCCAAAGCTAAGATTTGGTCTAATAAGATTGAAAAATTATTGATTTTTAATGATTATTGAATTTTTAATGAAATTAAAACTAAGATTTAAAAAATAATGATTTTTTAAATGAAAAATAATTGAAAAATTAGTGCAGTGCTAGATGTAAACATATATGAACCTTTGGGGAGGACTCTAAAACCTGACCTCTTACGTGAAACTAATCTCTGCAAAATCAAGATCCACTCCTCATCCCTGTTGAATTATCTCCCATACTAGTTCTAGCCACCTGCAAAAGGTAGCACTGATCAGACTGCAGCTTTCTTCTATGGTGCTGGTCCCATGCTCCCTTATATTTGGGTGCACAATCCTGCTTTGGCCTCTTTTAACACCAGCTTTACACAGGTGGGAAGGACCTCTTTAAATAGAGGACCTCACTTATCAAATAATCCAGCTTGTTCAGCAGGACTGATTTTTGCTTTTGTATTTACTCCTTCCACCACTCTATGTGTTGCCTGCACTCTATCAATTTTTCATTTACATCAAAGTACCAATAAAGAACACATTCAAGCCTTGAAAAGCTGCTTCCTATAAACGCTCCCCAGCCTTTGTTATCAAGGAACAAGGCTCTGTTCAGTCATCTCCCTCACTAACAGAAACTTTGTGAGACCTTTCAGTCAGCCAGCCCTTAATCCATCTATGGCAGCCTTCTCTGATACAGGAGAGGGCTATTTTTAGACAACAGTGTCCTGCCATGCTGAGTAAAACACCTGATGACACTTAAGTAATGTAGATCTAGCTCAATAAACTCATAATCTCATAGAAAAAGCAAGAATGGTCTTGTCGAACAGGAAGCATCTTTGACATGGCTACTTGAATGTCAATAATTATTTTTCTTTAATGCTTCACTGAACTAGTCAGACCTGGGCACTAGTAAGCAGTCACATTTTTTACTTGCTAAGAAATCAGTATGTTTTAGGAGCTTCTTCCTTTCATCTGTAGGCTGGATATATCCTTAACCCAAAAGACTCCTCCAGCTCCCGCACTGGTGGTTCCTCTAGTGCATGATTTCTCCTCAGTGCTTTCCCTATGCAATTGCCTTTAATTTACCTGATTTATGGATAACACATATTCACTGAGTCATACGCTCATTTGTATCCCAGATGCACCAATACATACTCGACACCCCCGCTTCCCAACTATGACTGCTAGCTAAGTGACAGAAAATATTTACATTTCATAAATGCTTGTCTGTGCATCTGGCGGTGATCTCTGCAGTCATAGAGAAGAAGGCCATATAATAAACTGTGGAGCCACAGTTTATTTATCCAAAATGTGATAAATTAGCTCAGCTCACCTGTCCTTTAGCCATGAAGCCCACTTCCTCTGGGACTATTAGCATTCCAAACTTCTGAGCAACTCACAGCAGGCATATTTTTTTAAAGCCACAAAAATGTTTCCTTTTTCACCCAAAATCTTACCCACCACTCCCCTTCAGGAAAAAAGCAGATGCAAGAACTGAATCTATAGGAACAAGCTCAGCAGGCAGACAGCTTCCAACCTCCTCTTTCAACCTCTTGCTTGCCTCCTCAGGGCATCTTCCCCATCATTCAGAGTGGGCACCATTGGTGCTGTTAGCATTAGAGCAGCAGATCAATGCTGTGGTGATTTATGATCAGGCTCAAACAGGTATTAAAAGCAGTGTGGAATGACAGAAAGACTTACCAGTATCTGTCTGTGCACACATGACACCCAAGTGGGGAGATGTGACGCAACTTCTGCTCAAGGAAGGACCAGAAAACCAGTTGCTCCTGGCTACACAAAGTTTATGTTTTCCTTCCCAGCATAGAGAATTGAGTTCCACTTTTTAGTAGCTGTCTTACATGTCCTCACTTCCAAAACAGAACCTCCACAGTGCTTTTAGTCTACTACTACTACTATAGTAGTTCTGTGAATTTTAGGGACTTCAGAAACATAAAAATGTAAAATCACAGCTTAAGAACGTACAATGGAATTAAAAACATACACTTGAAGGTCCTTTTTTTTTTTTTTTTTGAATCACACATCCTATTTTTAAAGACTTACTTAGCTGTTTCTTGCCCTGGTAAACCATAGCAACCAAGTTCCTCTCAATCTTGCATGCATCCCTAACAGCTCTCTGGACAAGGGCAAAGTCCATTATTCACAGTTTATGGATGGAAAATGAATGTACAGAGAGGCTAAATACTTGCTGCTGACAAAACAAGTGGCTAACTCATGTTCACCAAGGTTGAGATTAATGTTGTAATAGTCAGACCTCTTTTTTCCTCTTCCCATGACACTTGACTCTGTGCCAGACAGCCATATATTAAAACTGATTAGTCAGAGTAGGAAAGTACAAAATCAAACTCTTCAAAAGGCATCAGCCTTCTGGTGCAAATATTCATATTTCCATGTTTGGATTTTGTTTCCCTTAAATACTCAGCAATGTACATGTAAAATTTACTCTGTCTTGTTGGCAAGCTCATTTGCCATGGTGATTATGGAAGCAAGCACAAACATACAGGGAACAGTGTGTCTAAGTTGCAACAGTTAAGTGGATTTCTTTCTATATGCCTAGCATTCAACCAGCTTGACTGAACAGTGCTGGTGTAAGCTTCTGCTCATCTGAGTGAGATACTGCTGCTCATTAAAATAGAGGGAACATCAAGCCGAACTAAATGGCCACTTTTTCCTTCTTCTAAGAAAGGCCATGAAACTTCTGAGAATTTGCCTTATTTTGTACCACTAACAGATGGCACAAGAGAAATGGCTAACTTGTGTCATGTCATTCATCCTGATGGAGCAAAGGTTACACTACAAATAAACATCCCTGCATTCTGACAAACATCTGCAGCAGCCCAAGCGCTGGAGAAAAGTTACCTAACAAGTTTATATAGAAAACTTCTTGCTCTGCAGAGTGGGTAAGCAAACAAGTCAGTTCATGGGCCCACATTCAAGCTTAAAGTAAGGCTGAATACTTTTGATGCTGAAATAAAATTCTTTCAATGTAATTCACTGCACACGTTGCTGTACTATGCTTTATTTGTTGCCAGAAATAGAAGCCTAAAGAGAAATACAGAAAATGAAGATCCAGATTCCCAAGACCCTCTGTCATACCAGCACCAACCTACTGTAAAAGGTTGTGATACACTAGGTGATTATTCTACACACCAATGGCCTCAATGGTGTGAAATGGAAGTACCACAAGCAGAGCATCTGATTTACTTTTGTGAAAGCATTAGGCACATCATGTGGGGTGGAAATTGGTATGCCTCTTGGTTTTCTGTTATACAGTGTCCAAAGGAAGTACTAATAATATAAACCACTTATTTTAATGTGTAGACAAAAGTTTTTCAGAGCTTTGCAAGACAGCAATGCATGGAGCAGCTCTGCAGTATGGTTCGGCCATACAGGAGTCCCAAACCAGAGGCAGTAGTGAGGCCTGCTTCTGGGAGAATGTTTCTGCTGCTTCCATCTGGAGATTAATTTGGCAATGCTTATGCTGACAGAAAACTGTGAACCAGCTTAAAAATATGCATCTACTTTCCACTACCTGAAAACTAAATGGATATAGCCTCCCGCCCATATCAAATGATACCGTTTGCTTTATTTTCAGGAAATATTTCAGAGAAGGAAAAAACCACCGTGTATTTATTTTACATCTGGTTATTTTAAATCTCTGTGGACTTATTAGATGGATAACAAACTTAAAGAAAGCAGCTTGGAACAGCAGCAGCAACAGCAGCCATTCCTCTTACTACAAAGCAAATCTGTAATCTCTGCTGGATACAGTAAAACAGCATCTGTTGATCACCGGGGAAACCACAAAAGGGAACATGAAATCCATGTGGGCTCTGCCATCTTCTGTGATTTCCCTTCAGACCTCCAGGTGTGCAGTTCCCGGCACAGGCTGTGCCATCCAGCTGAGACTGGCACAGCTGCATCAGCATCTCAGCCATGGGGAAGAAGAAGAGCTGGGTGTCACTTGAACAAGGGCAGGCTGTGTGGGGCTGGCAGACTGGCAGTGCCCACGGAAACACAGGCCTTTTGACACAGCGCCTGTGCCATGCTGAAAGATGAGCTGGCAATTTCTGTGTGCCGGGATGATGCTGGTGATGCTGGTGGTTTTTAAACACCCAGGCTCAATCCTCACTAGGTGTCACTGCCCACGTTCCTCTGAAGGCTGCACCAGCTCAGCTCATGGCATACTCCAAATTACCGTACTAAATGTGGAAGCAGAAGTTTTAGCTAAAATGGGGCAAAATACTGCCTAGACTTCAACCATGGCAGGATGCAACTTGCCAGGGAATTTGGCTGAAAGCATGTGCTCAGCTGCTAAGCTGAGGTGACAGTTTATCTAATAGACCAAATAATTACACAATTCTGATAATTCTGTTTTCATTGTTTCCAAAATTCATAATACCACAATTTTTTTTTCTGCAGCAAAAAGCCATCCTGCTGCAGATCATTTTATTTAACTTCTTGATCAGCTAAGCTAAATCTCCCATTGTGAGAAAATATCTCTTCAGCAAAGAGATTTTCTCCCGCAATCTCCCATCCTCCCCACTTATTGCTTCTTTGCTTCTCCATCATCAATCTTTTAAATGTGCCACTGTGCATTCACATTTTTCTTTCCGCACGTGTCAGCTCAATGCTCTTCCTCAGAGCCCTCTTTCTCCGCCAAATCCTGCAAAGCAGACTTTAACCACTCGTTTCCCGAACGGGGAACTCCAAGCACAACTTCGCGGAAGCCAGGCTCTCCAGGCACTTTCCAGCCACCCTGCTGGAATCCCTGCTTCCCTCCACAACCCACGGCTATGGACAAAAGAGCAAGTAAAATGAAACTGACTTACTGCTATGGCTTGGAGCCTTTCCTTGTGCAACTCTGCTTCCGCCATCCTGGAGAGAAGGACACGGGAGGAGAGAGAGGGAGACGGATGGTGGTGGGATGTGCGGGTGAGAAAAAGAACGGCAAACAAAACCAAAACAGAGCACACAGTGCAGTCACCCGGGGGGAACTGGAGTAACTGCAAAGAAAGCCGAGCTCCTGTAGTAGTAATCAGCCACTTTTGGAGGCACTGCAGGCTGGCTCACGGTGCGATCATTTTAGTCACTGGAACAGTGCCTGCCTAGCTGCCTGTCTCCCAGCTGTATTGCTGACTGCATTTCATTGCCGCTTCTGTGTGCTAGTGCTGTCACACAAGCCATGTATGCACTCTCCCAGCAGCTGAGTGCAGGGATAGCTTGCATGGCTATAATTTTTTGCGTTGACGTCTCAGCTCATTTGCTCCTCCTATGGGGTGCTGGGTCACGACAGGAGCTCAACATCAGTAGCATTCGCAGCAGTCCGAACCTGCGGCAAAGGAGGCGGACAGCTGTGCCAGAGCATGTCCTTAGCAAGCAGTGCGGCAGGGAGGGGAGGACGGTGGCACATGGTGCAGTGAGCAGGAGCTGCGGCAGGCAGGCAGGCAGGCAGGCGGCTGCAGTCCCCAGCTGAAGCCGGTTTGGCTACAGGAAGGCATAGTGAAGGCACTGGCCGCGGGGGAACAGCACAGCCGCTCATGAATGCAGTGGAAATATCGCACGCTGTGAAAGGCAGCTGCTGCTGCAACGACGGTCTGTAAGAGCAGCAGTGAAGAGCATGTGTATGGGAAGGAAGAGGGAAGGTGTCCATGCACCCTGCACGTGCTTTGCACATTTAAGCACTGTATCGTCACTTGCAAGTGACAAACCTGCATGTACAAATGATCTGACTGAAGAACCCAGGTGTATTATAAATAGGGGAGGAGGCAGGTGAGGAAGGGAGGGGAGGCCTGATACAGTATCGTGACAGCACCCTTGATTTCAAGCTTGGATTCAGTTTTGAAACCTCTTCGCCTTTTCTTACTTTTTTTTTTTTTTACCTTTTTTTTTTTTTTCCGGTATGATTTCCCATCTGCTTTGTTTTCTCATAAACAGCAAAGAAAAGAAGTCCCTCACACTCTCCCAGCCATCAGGTGCTATTGCAAGGGTGAGCACAGGGCTGCCTTTGTGGAGTGGTGGCCCCAAGCCAGGACAGCCACCTTCCTGGCTGGAGTGCGGGGCAGAACCTGAGTTCAGCACCCTGCTGCTGCCCTGCCTGAGGAGCATTTTGAAGCATACAATTTTGTTTTAATAACCCCACGCTGACAAGACAAGGAGACCCCATCATCTTGCACGAAAGGGGTCTGGAATTGATCCTGCTCGTCTGTGCCTGCCCTTTTGTGTGCCTCTCTGCTGAAACCCTGTCTCCTCTTGCAGACATCCTCCACCTCCACCCTGTTTCCAGCTCTGAAATGTGCTATTTGCTGCAGCCTGCTTTTCGAGGCCACTGCTTTCTCAAGTGTTTCCACCTCCAGGTCCCATTTTCCTTGTTGGTGCCCAGCCTCCTTGTCTCATGACGGCATGTCAAAGTGACTTCTTGCTTAGTTTTGCCTCTGTGAAAGAGGTCCTTTGTTGTATAGAAAACTTACAGAACATTATATAATTGCAGTAGTCTGTGTGGCCAAAACACAAAGTTTTATTGCCTTATCCCAAGGGAGGCTGTATCTGTAAATGGGTGTTGTGGTGGGTTCACAGCTAGCAAAAATGCAGCAATTCCAGATTACACTGGGATACTCTTACCACCTTTAAGTTATTTGCTGGATGACATCTATCCTGTAGCTTATTTAGTCCCTTTCAGCTTGTTGCTTTTCTTCAAATCCTCTCTTTTTTGTCTTCAGTTACCACATAAGGTCTATGTACTGCTGCACAGCTAGGTTTGAAATGTCCTGTCACACAGGATCCAGACATCTATACTCTCACGTGTGCACTGAGAACACACATGGGCAGCTTCTACTAAGACTTGCAAGCTATGCAATTAAATCCCTTCAATACCCTTCTCATGTTTTGCTGCTAAGCCTTTCCCAGGAGAGGAATTCTGCTACAGGCTATATCCAGCAAAGACAACGGTATGCCCCAGTGCTTACTGGAGCTGAGACGGGCAAGCTGTTTGATCCATGACCTGTAGTCACATTAAATGTTGCAAAGTGGTGTGTGAAATGCACTACCATCACCTTTTCCTTCCACATAGCATCCACTCAGCAAAACATTTAAACATTATTTAAGTACATTCAGGGTAATCATGTATAAAAGTGCATCACTTCTTATACAAAACCTTGTAACACTGTGAAGCACAGTCATGCATCTGAGCTGGATGCTATATACCCCATATTTATCCTCTCTCCCATTGAACTGCAGTGCTTGCTGAAGGCAAGGGGTAAGCAGGGTGCATCCTAATGACTGCTGGGGCATTCCTGGCCCCAGCAAAATGTGCTGCAGGGCTGTGCACCCCCTTTAGTTTAGTTTGGCAAGGAAACAGGGATCAGCTGTGCTGCAGCAGCTCACCCTCTTGGCTTTTTACAATTGTACAGTAATGATACTGTATGTATCAGCAGAGGAGCAGTTTCTTGTTGGTAACTTGCAATGCAGAGAAAATGATCTGTGTAAGGTAACTTACAAGGTGATGACAAAGCGTGCAGACACAGCCCCTATGCACATTTGGTTAGTGAAGGCAGCTTTAAATGTAACAAGATAAAATAATGACCCAGGCATTTTATGTTTTAACCCATGTTGGTTAAGATTTTTGTTTCCAGAATGTTTTGCTGTGTTGGTAAGGAATTCTAATAAAAAAATAAGACAACATATTAAGCTTCATTGATTTTTATTTTACTTTTAGGGTAGGAGGGCAGGGTAGCATTTCTGAATTTTGAAGACACTAACAACAGAGGACAGAGGTTGTAAGGAGAAGCAAGAAGATTCTAGAGGAGTAGGCAAGCAAGAGGAAAGAAGTATTCTAGTATACTTTGTTCAGTAGCTAAAAATGAAGGAGAAAGGAAAAAAATATTTTTCAAATGTCAGTTAAAAGGCTGTTCTTTTCATTGGAAGTTTTAAAAGAGCAAAAGCTGCTACATCTCAATAATGTGTGAATTGTATCCCATTTCCATGCAGGACAGATTTTTATTTTCATTTATTTGGAAACGAGTGTATGAAACAATCTGCAGTCCCTGCTCAGTTCTGGGCAGGATCTGGAAACCACTCCGAGACGTGTAGCCTGAATTTTTAATAGGACAGCTTAGCTATATGGTAGAAACTGGGTTCTTGTCCTTGCTGTAGAGCTGACCTGGATTAGAAAAAGTTCTAGGTTAAATCACCTGTGTTATTTTTTTTTTAACAAGCCTTTTTTTTTTTTTTTTTTGACAAACTTTTTTAGTCATTGTGCTGCCATATGACCAGAACCTGTCTGCATGATGCTGGCCATCTTGACGCAAAACCTTTGCCTTCGCATTCTCCCAGCTGTTGGTAGGACTGAGTCAGTCTGAGAAAACAGACTTTGGCCTGAAGACTGAGTAAGGAAGGCACACTCATACACATGAAGGTCAGGATTAATGCCTCAGCCATTGCAAATGCATCGACATATTTTTGTGGTGACAAGTTAGTGGTTGGATCCTGGCAGCAGTTGTCAAGAAAACACAGAGCAAGGAGGGGAAACAGGCTTCACATTTGCATTTCTGATTGTTTAAGGGGAGATACTTCTGGCTCTTAAAATTACCACATGCCAGCATGTTGCATTGTGCTGCACCAACTGTTCTGGCATCCTCAATATTGTCAAGCATTCCTCTCTAGGGCATATTTGAACCATATTATTTTCATCTAAGTTGAAATTCTGAGGTTTGATTAATCTGTTTTTTATTTTCCTTTCCAGACTTTGGCCTCACAGATGCTATATTTAAATAGGCCAGGAATGTAAAGTTGATCTAAATTTTTAGATTACTGAGCCTGTTCTCCATGCTCACTTTTTAGGCTCCCACAAGCACAATGTCTTGCACAGCCTTAAAAATTTCCAGCAGTGGCACCATCCAACATTTCCAGGAGAGGCTACTTCATCTGCAGTTTTAATTGGTGTCAGCCTCATCAGACAACAGTCTCTTGCCATACTTCTCTCATCCATACCCAGGGTGCTTTCTAGGGGGCACAGTGGTTGCAACACCAGGGGGTTGTGCTCGGGCCATTTGAAAGCTCGCTACTGTGAGCTGCACCTCAGAGACCCCCATCCCAAAAAGCCATCATGGAATCATAGAATGGTTTGTGTTGGAAGGGACATCATGCAAGGACTGTTGTCCTAATCCCACCTGGACACTTCAACCTGTGAAGTAGTGGCTGCATGGTGGGGACTGTATGTCCAAAACCTTGCAAACCCATCTGGGTGGCTGGTGGTGGGGGTTCCCAGCCTGTTGCCACTCATGACTCGGTGAAAGTGAGAACTGTCTGAACACCCACATATGTGTGCTCACCCCTCTGCTGAGGGATGGCAGATGCTGGTACCGGTACACCTTCTTCATCCTCACTGCCCCCTCATACGGGTTTTCACAGGCACAGACCCCAGGTGGTGTGAGCTGGTGGGAAAAACAGCCTAAGCAACAGGACAGGCAAAGACTGGGAAGTCTCCCCTCCCCTTCCGACAGCATTTCATGCCTGGAAAATGCAGGTGGAAAAAATGTAAAAGATATGCCTGAAGCTGCCCAGGAGGGCAGTGGCAGAGCTCAACCTACACCCTTGAGTCCAGTTCTGTAAGTGCACAAGATCATTCTTGATAAAAAAAATCTCTATACCAAACTTGGTTTAACTGAGGTTGTTTCGCCTGTTTTCTATTGTTTCAGTTTCTCCAGTGGGTATCAAGACATGGAGCTGAAGCAGGCACAGCAGGAGACGGCATTGTTTAAGAAATAAACAGCTAGAGAGCAGGGCTTTCTTTTAAACTTTCCCAAGACAGTAGGCTTATGAGTAGGTAAGCCATCATTTATTAAGAAGTGCAGCCTATTTTTTTTTTCCATGTTTGCTTGGTTTCATGCTGCAGGCATGGGGAGCTGGCACTGAGAAAGAAGCCCTCTAGATAGAGGGGTGGGTCTTCAAACAGTTGTGTCAGTGGCAGGGCACCTCCTCTTGATGGACCACCAGACACTGTGAGTGGAATGGACTCCCAGGAGCATTCTGCAGAGCAGATGTCTCCTAGCCAAATGATGTCTGTTGTCCACAGACAAGTTGCTTGTAAGTGATTCTGCTGGCATCAGGGATAAGAAACAAGGTATTTCCTGAGATTTTCCTGAGATCTCCTGTCCTGCCAGCCCCTCTGCCAATCTTAAATAGCCTCATGTTAACCTGACCTTCAGTCCTTGGCAGTAAAGTAATTCATGAAGCAAGCCATGGAGCACCTTCTCTCCAAGCCTGCAGGTCAGGAAATGAGGAGATCCTGTTTGCAGTGACTTTCCTTTATGAGGGAAGAATCTAAGAATTAATGAGGTACGCATTTCACCTTTCTTGCTTCTTTCCTCTCCTGATAGATGGGGTTATTT